CCTCGGGCTGCGCCCGGGCCTGAGCGCCCAGCGCTCTCTGGGGGGGCCGCCCGCCAGTGCGCGCCGTCCTCAGGTGCACGGGCCGGACGCCTCTCCGCTGCCCGGATACCTTGGGCTTCCACCTATCCAGCCTCCCTTGGCCGAACTGCTGGGGAGCCCGGCGTCAGGGGGCGCCAAGGAGCCAGGGGGAAAACCGTAAGGTGCTGGTGTGAGCCTCCAGGTGGTGCTACCCCCACCTCCCGCCTCCCTGCGCCCCGCCCCGAGGTCGGGGCTTTGGAGGATGCAACCGGGTGAGCTATTGCTTGTGGGGGGGTTCCTCGCACGCTGAAGCGTGAACACCGGGAAGGGCCTTCCCTGGGAACTGGGATCCCCCAGGAACGGGAGGCCACCCCTCTCCAAGACCCTCTAAAAACTAGGAGCGCCCGGTAGTAGGACGCTCCGGTCTGCAGATGTGAACTCTTCCACCCCCAAACTTGACGCTAATTTCGCAGCTAAGAAATGGGCACTTTAGATCTTGTATCCATGCGTTTACCGTAAAACCCTGACTTATTTAGTGCATTTGAAGGGACGGGATTTCAGATTTCATCCTGGCAGATCAAGGAAGTTGGGAATTGACTTGTAAATATTTTAAGGAGAAAAATTTTAGGGAGTGTGAAGCAGTAGTGCTCTGTCACACTCACGCACACAGCCCCTCTGTCTCCCCTTTGCTCCCTCCCCACATTTTTTCGTGACCAGCAAAAAGTATATTGCAGTTGGTGGCTGGGAGATTTAATAGTTGTTGCTGTGCAGTGCCAACGCAGAAGGTGTGGTGGGAACGCTGCAGTGTGCCTTTCTGCTGACAGCTACGGCCACTTGGCCAGGAAGCCGCTACTGCAGCAGTCAGTCTGCGGCATCTCGTGGCCTTGGCATTTTGTGGCCTTGGTGGGACCGGGTGCGGTATCGCGTTCTGCTGCACCCAAGGCAATGCTGGCTTTCCCTGTGTGGGGCTGAGTTTTTTGTTTGTTTTGTTTCATTTCCCCGAATAAGGAGACTGCAATTATAGTGACAAGGTAACACATTACTGCATTTCTGGAGTTTCTAATAACGACTAGATTGGACATTTATTTTGGAATATTTTACAGAGTGAAGAAATTGTGTCATAAAAAATAATTTGTAAAATTCTGAAAAGGAGTTGAAGAATTGGTGAAAAATCGGTGTTGTTTTTTAACTGTAAAAAAAACCAGCTATACAGCTCTGCATAAAAGCTTAACCATTGATATTCTTAAGGCTGATAACATATCACCATGTGTAAGCATTAAAAGACACTCAAAAAGTTATTGCCTAATGCAATCCCTTAAATGCCAGATTCATAAACTGGAAAACAATGGATACACTTTATTATTTGCGGCTGGTTTCCTAAAACAAAATAAACATTTTTGTTGTTGATACTGTTGGATCTCACTCATTAAGTTGTTTTGTGCTGAATATGGAAGGGACCTTGATTGCAGATGCTGTGTTAGGTGAGAATCTTGAATGTCAGAGTAGGCTGCACTACATACCAAGAGAGTCTTCATAGGCCCCTGGAACTCAGAGGGCCTGACAGGTAGCACTGCATCATGTGCACATGGCTAAAGGTTTCCTGATACTGCAGCCCACTGCAGTGAGAAACCGTATTCCTGTCCATTATGCAGGGGTGACTGAAGAGAATCCTGAGACCTGTAATGTGTGGCACATGAGGAAAGGAAGAATTCTCCACCACATTGACCCAACAATGGCATGGTGGAGTAATTTAAAACAACAAAACTGAATTAACCTTTTGCAAATATTGGGTAAAAATGACTAATAGAATTAATGAAGGTCATCTTTACTTTATGCTTCTCATTGACTAAAATTTGTAAGTGAACTGGCATGGCCTAAATATCCTTGAACAGAAACATGTCTAAGACTACAAACACGGCATAGTAGCCAATTTGCCCCAAATTCTGCATTTTTAACAACAAAAAGCAACTAAATAGCAATTATGGTTTTCTGAGCTATTAATTTAGCACAACTGTTATCATCCTGAGTCTGGCTGCAGCCATTTATAAATTTCAAGTGCACACAGAAACATCATTTATCTTTCTTGGCAGGCAAATGCTTAACTGCCATGCCATAGAATTATAGATATTTCCTTTTAAATACATTCATTTCTGTTATTTGCATCAGTTATTTTAAGGATAGTGACAATAAGAAAAACAAATCCTTGAAAGAATTTGGTTTTATTGTTATTTTCTGATTTGTTTTTTGCTAATTTATTTTCTTTTCTAAATAACAGTAGGGTATTAACTATTCCTGTCTGTATGTTTATGTGGTGCCTAATGCATTATGGAATTCAGTAAATATTAAATCAGACAATCAGTCCTTTTTGGAAGTTAATTTAGTAGAATTCATACCTTTTCTTCCTGCTAGGTTTTCATTTAGTAAAGAATAATTGACATTGTATAAAAGTCACAAAAAATTTAAAATTTGGAGGTAGGGATGGAGGATGAAGGCCCGTGGTCAAAAACTTTCATACTGAGAAATGAAACATCACAGTGGAAAAGTATGTACAATTTTTGGCTTTTTTTATGACGATGAGTTAGCATTGTAACCCAGGAGAAAATAAAGGAATTGGGGAAAATAGCTAAGAGCCTTTGATATCAGGTATGTGGAAGGTAATCCAATGCACAGACCTTCTTTCCCTTGGATTCTCAATCAAATTGGAAATAGGTACAAGGAACCAAACAGAAATTAAAATACTAACTCTATTCAGGGTAAAGCCAGATTGAAGAACTAGCTTAGATTCAAAGCCAAAATGGGGCATCTTATTCCTTTTCCCATAACTCAGTGTGCCCACCCAGTCTCAGCTGAGGAATGATGGGACTTACCACCACTAGGGCAGGAAGGAACCAGACCTGTACAAATTCCTAAATAGAGACCAGAGGCCAGGAAGAGCCTGACTCTTTCCAATCCATAAGGAACAGTATGAATGAGGTTTTGTATACATCGGTCCTCCCCTTTCATGGCTGACAGTCCCTCCTTAATTTCCCCCATCACTAAATCTTCCCACCTCCCAAAGATAGGAGTGAAAAAGGCTTAAATACAGTGGCAGAAACATCTTCTACAGTACTTCCCTAGAGGTGGAAAATTGTGGCACAAGTTCCTAATTTACTGTTACAGGAAGAAGCATCAGGAAGAAGAAAAGTTTCCACCCTGAGCTGTGTAGCAACCAATTGAGGGAAAAGGAGGAACTAAGATGACTCAAGTTTGGAGCTAGGGTGGAGGAATAGTTTTGAAGGGCAAGATGACAAACTGTTTTAGACCCACCAAGGTGGAAATGTCAGAAGGACATTGGTGTGAAAATATCCAGCAAGCCCATGGAAATGTGGGTGGAGAGGTCAGAAGCAAAACAGACATGGGAGTCATCAACATAGATTGTAGTTGAAGTCATGGAAATGGAGGAAATGACTAAGAAAGAGAAACTGTGGAAAGAATTGGAATCAGAACTTTGGAGACAGCTTCCATTTGTGGACAGCAAAAGGCAGGACCGGGGAACCCAAGTGGAGAGTGTCCCAATTCAGTGGCGTGCTAGAACAGATGCACAAATGGGAGGTAAAGGGGGGCGAGGACTGAGACTGGAGACTAGGAGACCTCTGGGAACCTTCCAGAGAACTGATTCATTATTGCAGGAGAGGCTAAAATAAGACCTTCATGCAAAGGCAAAAAAGAGGAGAGAGCCATTGTCTACAATTTTTGGAGAAATTTGATTTTAAAAATGGGATATGTAGAAGAGCAATTAAAGCCTGAGTAAAGGCCAGTAATTATCCTTTTGTCAGGCTGGGGATATTTGAATAAGTTTCTAGGGCACTTGGGAGATGGAACCAGCAGTGAGAGAAGAAGAATTAAGGAGAGGGAAAAGAAGGCCTTCTCCTGGGGAACTGTGATTTAGCAATTTGTTTCAACATTCCTCGAGTCCCCTCTACCCCACCCCCAGCCTAGTTCTTTCTGCTCTCAGGCTGTTTTGAGTCTGCAGAGTTAAAATTGAGCCTGACTAGTTATGATGTCTCCCTGCCCATGGTCTCCTCCCCACCAATTTTGGCCATTAACACTCAGACTTGAAGAATGATTTTTAGAGAAAGATAAGGAATACCTTGGAATGTAGCCCAGGTTGTCTGCGTTTATTACAAACCTACATGGAAATGAGTAAATCACCCAATTAGTAATCACACAAGGACATTACACTGAAATATTACTCCCTTGAAAACAAAAAGTTTAGGTAAAAATGGCTCCAGTAATAAATTATTAGAAATATATCATTTCTGACATTGGACTGGTAGCCTCCTTGTTATTGGGTGAAGTGTTTTACATGTGCTTGTATTGAAAGGTAAAGGAGCTACATCATCTGGAAGAACCTACTTCATCTAATGTAATCTTGGAGGTGATTTCCAGCCACCAGAATCAGGGAAGCCATCATGTGGATGGATTACTGTTGTCTTTTTAATATGTGAGTTTTTGAAGGAAAACCATTGTAATTTGCAGTAATATCAAATATTTTCAGTAAATATTCCCTGGGAAAGA